CCTGAGGAGAATTCCCTGACGCCGCTTCTGGACCAGGGGCCGTCCGCTCGCGCCTCCGCCGTTCCTCGCAAAGGCCGCGAGAACCGCCACGACTCCATGACCAGTCCCGATGATGACACCGAGGACAAAGAGGAGAACCGGAAGAGTCCCTGGCAGAAGATCGAGGACAGGCCCCTCATGGTCTTCCATCCCAGGAAGTGAAAAACCTGCAGCCGGCGTTCATGCGATGGAAAGCCCTTTTCGGCATTTTCTCCCTTCATTCTTATTCTCCAGCACTCGTCGAACCGTTCTGTCTTACCAGTGATCCTTTTCCACTACTGCCTTCCACTACTCTATGGCACAATCGGAGAACAAGTACGGCGCGCTAGGAGAACGACGAGGACCCTGTTTATTTGTTCCCCACCTCGACGACTGGGTGGCACACAAATGTCACGGAGTAGTGGAAAAAACTTTGCTAGTAAAACATGAGCTGCTAGTCTGTGAAATTGTCTGACTAATAAGGGCAAAGTGTGTACTAGTATAAGGATGACTCAGCGCACAAGTAGAATATGGAAGGGATGCTCAATTGACTTTCCATAATTGCCGTCACAAGAAGCACAAGCATGCAGGTTCCTGATTGGTTGTCAGGTTTGTGCCAAGGGGTGAGCACACTGAGCCCCGTCACTTGCTACCGCAGCGACCACGCCAACCCCCCGGGTCACGCCGGCCACCCACAGAGGATGAAGCAGCCATTTTCCAAGCACTTGTGACTTTTGTGTGGTTAGAGTGCCTCGTCGTGCCACCTCTTTCCTCACCAGGCGCCAGCGACTCAGTTGTGAGTGTTCGATTTGGCCTCTTAATTATTCGATAGGTCACTACAGCCGTCTCCTCCTCCAAGTGCCTTGTTCTCTGGCGTGGAGGTTTCTACTCTAGCGTCTCGCGCCACCTGCCGGACAGTCGCCGCCGCCCACCACGCATCCGAATTCCCCCCGCCCTCCCTCGCAGAGCGTCCGCTGCCAATCTTGCATTTGACTTTCACGTGCATGTTTTCATTGCAAAGGTCACAATGTGGACTTCCGGTCGTCAAAGTTTACACGAACGTCTTTTTCTTCTTTAAAATCCCAACTTTTTGCTTGTATCCTATTCCTGACATTCAAGTGCTGTTTTATGTTTGTGTTGATACTTTTTGATCAGCCACAATGACCACTGCACTTGTTTACTTTTACTTCTTCTTGTGGTTGTGAAGATAAGGAGGCACTTGAGGGCCTCCATCACGTGACAAGTGTAACCTTTGTGTACGAAGTAGAAATAAATGTGTTCCCTAACTCACTCACTTGCCCGTGGACACTTTATTGTAAAAGGACACAACACAAAGAAGAACGACAAATGAAACGTGCGTGATGTACATACACTTTTGATGACTCCGTCAGGGAAACAGTATTTATTGAGCAATACGCTAAATAATAAGCTTCAATAAATAAACTTTTACAACGTATCAAATATGTTAAATTGTTTCTTTTTGCTCATGTAAAACACAAGATCGGACCATCCCTAATTCAAAACTTAAAAGCTTTTAGCTATGAAAAATAAAGCAATTATTAACGTCACAGAAAATACGCGCAGAAATTATTGTTATTCTTGCTCGTGTCTCTTTAAGAAGCGAAGAGGATGGGTCACGTGCCCCCGAGTCATGTGACCCTGGTTGAGTTTGCGCAAACATCTTTGAAAACGTCAGTCATTCGCCTGCTGCCTTTTCTCTCCGAGTCGTCGCGTCCTGTTGACCCGCTTCGACTCCGATGTGAGCAACGAGCCGGTTATTCAGAAATTAATTCATTCCAACGCTCCGTTTGGTTGCTAGCTCGGCACTTAGCCACCGATCTTGCTAGGTTAACTTGCACTGTTAGCTCCCACTTGACGGCGAGAATCAACGTACACAATGGTCCATATAACGGCATAATGTTGTATTTGTCTGTTTTCTGTTGGAATTAGTCGACAAGCACACATGAGCGTGAGGGACTGTTCGCATCACTGACGTCATCAGCTGCCGCCTCTGTCACACAATGGTAAGTCGACGGCCTGTGATGTCATCAACACGCAACTGACACCAACAACTAGTGCAGGGTCAATAAGGTAGTCCAGCTTGTGAACACATTTTAATATTAAAGAAATTGATGATAACATTGACTAATGCTGACATTGGAACAAAAGTGGCTTCGAACCTGGCCTGGTCACTGGGCACAAGTATGTAAACAATCGACTGTTCGCCATTTGAAGTTAGGCCAGGAGATTGAATGTGATTTCCTTGGCGCAGGCGCTGGTGTGGTGGTCCCTGTTGGCGTCCGGTCTGCTCGGCACCAGCATGTCGCTGGTGTGTCCCGACGGTGGCACCTGCCAAGAGGGAAGCACGTGCTGCACGGATGTGGCGGGACGCTATGGCTGCTGCCCTCTGCCTCGCGTAAGTCCTCACACGCCTGCACGTCTCTGCACACCTAACTTAGGTGCGCGTGCGGCGCCGCAGGACATATGCTGCTCAAACGGCATCCATTGTTGTCCGGAAGGAACGGCCATTTGACCTGCAGCACACCACATATCGACTCTTGTCTCTTTCCTAGAGGAGGTTAATTCCTCCTGAGCAGGTGGGGGGCGCAAGTGCTGGGAAATGACCGTGACATGAGCTGAATGCTAAAATATATCAGGGAAATGCCACGGACAGGCTAGGGAAACGAGCATAGATGTGAGACTTCAAACAAGCGCTACGTGAGCAGCAAAACTCCCAAACCAAGCTGTTGTTCATGATGCTCCATGTCTTTCACTGGAGCTTAGTGCTTCCCTCGCATATTGTGGCACAACGTGGTATGACATGAAAGGCGTACGTAACTCTGAACTTTGGACTTACTGGTCCACTGTTAAAAATAGAGAAAATAGGAATTTGCGTGTGTGTGTGTTTTGAGCAGAGTGTGCGAGCGTTGGCTGTGTTGTGCCCGGACCAGCACTCGGAGTGTCCGGGCGCCACCACGTGCTGCCAGCTTCCTGACGGCTCGTGGGGGTGCTGCCCGTTGGCTAAGGTGACGCACAAGCAGTAGCAGTCACTAGTGCAGTTAGTTTAGCTTGCAGCTGACCTTCGGACACCTCCCGCAGGCGGTGTGCTGCGACGACAAGCGTCACTGTTGTCCCGAGGGAACCGCCTGCGATCTCACCCGCTCGAGATGTGTTTCGGCCGGCAGAGACTGGCGGGGTTGGCAGCCCTTGATGAGCAAACTTCCTGCGAAGCCTCGTGTCAGTGCTCCAGGTAGGGCGTGCGCTAAATTGACGGGACTTTTTGGAGGCTGAAAGCGATGGATGGGCGACCTTGGCGACCCCTCCCGCTAACACTAACCAATCCCGTTTGACCCCGTGCAGCCGCCAGCAAACTGGCCAAGGTGTCGTCAGTGACGTGTCCCGGCGGGGAAAGCAGCTGCCCCGACACCTTCACCTGCTGCCTGCAGGCTGGCGGAGACTACGGCTGCTGCCCCTACCAGGATGTACGTGGTCTCGCGGGTGCCACGGTCGTTTCTGAGAGGCAGCCAATGAAACAAGTGTTGTTCTTGCAGGCCGTGTGCTGCGACGACGGCGCCCACTGTTGCCCCAATCACACCGTCTGCGACCTGCAGCAAGGCATCTGCCGGCCGGCCGAGGGGCACGGCCGCTGGCTTCCCAAGCTGCCCGCAGATGGTGAGCTCATGATGACGGCTGTACTGGCGGCAGGATTTCCTCCATTGATCTGCAACTCCATTGTCACTTTCTATCATCCATTAATTGTTCACACCCCTCGTTTAGCTGCATTCTTCTGTGTGTGTGTGTGTGTGTGTGTGTGTGTGTGTGTGTGTGTGTGCTAGTGGATTGTCCCAACAAAACATGGACGTGTCCAGATGAGACCACATGCTGCCAAACAAGTCCGGGGGAGTACGGCTGCTGCCCAATGCCCGATGTAAGACCCTTGTGGAAACATTTGCTTTTCAAACATGCGGACTGAATATTGCTTCCATGAATAATTAAAATATATTCAATATGTTGCATGAATGTAGTGTTTTCCACCCCTTGAAATTAGTTAATATTATGTATTCCATTTTATTATCACATTGTTTTAATTGATTACATTGAATAAAGTTTTTGTTAGTAATACAAATACATATTAGTGAATGTATACATTTACATTTTTTTGTATACACTATCAAATTACTACATGAATTATAATGTAATGAGTTTTTTATGAAAAAAACGATATAAGATTGAATTTAATAAATTAAATTACTGGAATTAACTATTTCTTCTACAGTAAATTTCATTTGTCTTGTTAAATACTTATATAAGGAAAATGTTTATTTCATAAAACAAAGTAAACAATGTAAATCATTTTACATACACAATATTTTCTTTTTAAAATTGTTTTTTATTTCTTCTTTTTTTTTCTAACTTGCGTGACCATGTGTCTTTAAAAAAAAAAAAAAAAAAAAAAAAAAAATCAAAAGAGGCCCTTGTGCCCGAAACTTGGCCGAGCCCTGTTTTGTATGTGCACCTGCCGTTTGCTTTGGCAGGCCACGTGCTGCTCGGATGGCCTTCACTGTTGTCCTCACGGCACCATCTGCAACTTAGCCGCTGCCACGTGTGACGACCCCGCCAATGGCGCCGCGTCCGTCCGCGCCATCTCGCCTCCAAACACAAAGTGCAACGAGTCGATGGTGTGTCCCGGAACATCCACATGCTGCCAGGACGTGGCCGGGGACTGGGCCTGCTGCCCCCTCAAGGAGGTGAAGATGCCGCCCAACGCACCCCACCAGCTGACGTGCTCCCGTCTCACTGGTTGAAAATGTTCTGGTCCTCGCCAGGCCGTGTGCTGCCACGACGGCTTCCACTGCTGCCCTCATGGGAAACGCTGCAACCTGGAGGCGAAGACCTGCGACGATGCCTCTGGCGTGGCCCCGCCCCTCCCCTGGCTCGCCAAGACGACCGCCGTGGCGACGGGCGTCACTGCGTGCGACGAGCACACCAGCTGCCCCAAAGGGGCCAGCTGCTGCTTCATGAAGAGCGCCGGCAAGTGGGGCTGCTGCCCGCTGCCGCAGGTGACCCTTCATGCTACCACCTCATACCGTGCCGGATCGCCACACATGCCACCCGATACACGTCATTGCCTGACATTCCATGTTTGCAAATACACCAACATGCCAAACTGCCCATTGTGCCCAACACTTCACAAGACTTCACCCATAACGCCATCCAACATGTTTGAAAGTGACAGGAAGTGTGCTTGGTGCCCTCAGGCTGTGTGCTGCCAGGACGGGTCCCACTGCTGCCCCGCCGGGCACACGTGCGACCCGCACCGCTCGTCTTGCTCCCGAGGACGCCGCGTGGTCCCCTGGCTCACCAAAACGCCAGCCGTCGCACGCCCCCCGGCAGTCGCCGATGTCAAGTGCGATGACAAGAGCAGCTGCGCGGCCGGCACCACCTGCTGCAAGTTGCCCACCGGCGAGTGGGGCTGCTGCCCGCTCGTCAAGGTACCTTTTCTCGTCACGTTGTAAAGACTTAAGACCGCCTGTACGACGTGTGGTAATGTTTTGCGCCCGCAGGCCGTGTGCTGCCCGGATCGCGAGCACTGCTGCCCGCAGGGCTACTCGTGCAACATGGAGACGGGAACATGCGAGAAGCCGGCCGCGGCGCCAGATGTCGCCGCCGCCGCCGTCCGGGTGGAGACGATGGTTCCTTGCGACGTGGCGGCGGCGTTCGCTTGCGCTGAGCGTGAGACGTGCTGTCGGAGTTCCGCCTCCGAGTGGGCCTGCTGCCCCTCGCCCCAGGTATGTCATACAAATGAACAGCACTTTCTTAAAGCACCTGTTGTTTATGCGGTAGGCATATTTATCGCAAAGATATTTTATTAGCCTTTCAATTCATATCACTTGGGGAAATTTGACATCTGAGTAAAGAAAGTAATGAGCTTGGACATGGAATGACTTCAACTGATCAATCAGCTGATAATCCACTGTAGTTGCGCGACTTTACGGGGGGCAGACCTGCCACATCCAAGATGGCGGACGTGGCGTGTGGTATTGTGGGCGTGTCCTAATGGCGTATTTGCCTCCGCAGGCGGTTTGCTGCGCAGACATGAAGCACTGTTGCCCCGCCCACTACTCGTGCCACCCGAGCGGCGGCTGCGTCCGGACGGCGCCCACGTGGGCCGCCTCCTTGCGCGACCCGGACATCGTCTGACGCGTGCGCCGCACACGCAAGCCCACCTCCTCAATGAGAAGTGTCTGGGCCCAGCAAAAGCAAGTTTAACTGCTTGATTTATTCACACGGTCGCTGCTGGCCAATCAGCTTCTGCTTGTCACCTTAGCAAACAAACGGAAGTGTTTTTCATGAACTATATGTCAATAAAATCAAACGTGTCATGGACGGTCAGCCTCAACACATTATGCATTCCCCCCCACCATTTCAGAGAGTTTTATGGTGTCTGTGGTCCATTGATTAATTGTTGAAGTTCTTGGAATTTTAGCCTCTCCAATAATCGAGTAATTGTTGCGCCGCGAATCATGACTAATTTATAAACCAAATTTTTTTTTTTTAATTACACTGCAGTAAAGGTTAGTGAATTTTAGCAGTAGTACATATAAGTAAACAAATGACTAATTCACATCAGATGTCCTTAACCAAGGTGAGACATCTACATAATCTAAATAAGACGGAGAGAAAGCTTCTGTTGGAAGTCTGTTGACTTGATTTTACCTTAGCTTAGCTTAGTTTAGCTTCGCTTGAGCAGTGTGCCAAGAAGAAGCGACAAGTTGCTGTCGTTTGATAACTTCAGTATCTTCATTGGTCCGTTCCTGCCCCCATCAAAGCCCACACAAGCCCTTCTTTACATGTTGCCAGGGAGAGAACACACACACATGCACACACACGTTTGTATTAGTATCAGTGGGGGCGCAAGAATGTTGTTCGGGCATGAGGGGTTGGCTTGTTGGACACGTCAAAAGTTGTTTGGCCCAATGAGAAGTGTTTGGGGGAGGGGGACAGGAAGCGTCGAGATGGCATTGGACCCACAAAGAAAGATCCAGACGCTCGGGAAGGACCAGCACCCCAAATCTTATCTGCCAGACCTACCAGGGGAACACACAACAACCCCACTGGCAGGATCGAAGCGGGTAAGTGACGGAAATGGGAAATGAGGCATCATGGGAAAGCTAATGATGTCTTGTGATGACTTGAACACAGTACTGTTCGTCATATTCCCAATATGATTCTTCTTCTTCATCATCCTCACTTGTGTCTTGCATGTCTCCCACTTGAACTTGCTCCATGACTGCACTCCTAGCTCATAATTCTTCTCTCAAATCATCTTTTTCCATTGAAATGAATGAAAACGCCATTATTGTGTTCCGCGCTCCGTCCCAGAGAACGACAAAAAAATTGTCACGTTTTTGGATGTAGAAAACAGCCCTCTATTCTATTCCACTTTTATGAAAGACATAATGAAAGTAAGTAAAAAAATCCAACCGTTGGTTTTTTTTTTTTCCCCAACAATGACATTGTGGTCCTACTTGTGTGCGCTCCCTGGCCACTGAGGAGCTGTATAATGCCATGTTGCCTCGAGATAGGAATTGAACTCATTGTGTGACCCCATTCATATCTCAAAACACTCAAATCATCTTTCCTTTAAATCTGAAGAAATTTGATTCCACCACTCACCTCTCCCGTTAAAAAATAACGAAATTTATGTTTTGTAAGTGGCAGTACAAAGCATGACTGTGCTTCATGTATTGCCCTTCCTTGTTGTTGGTTCGCCGCGGTTAACGCTGGCTAATTCGCTGTCAGTGTCAACGCGTCGACTGGAGCAAGACAAAGTTGGACAGCTGCACCCTGGCGCGGTGGCGCCAAAACCTCCGACACTATTTTTAGCCCATGTTGTTCCTAATTTTGATGTCACTCTCATCTTTGACACGCAGCAGGAAGTCAAGGTTGGGTCGCATGCTGGACCCTAGCGGAGGGTCCGACCGCGAGTGGCAGCGGTGGGTCGGTCCCCGCCCCCTCGGCCGGGCCATGCTGCTGGGAACCGCCGAGCTGCTGGACGACACCGGACAACCGCCGGTGCCTTCCGGGGAACCTTTACGTCTGTCCGTCGTGGCGCAGGCTGAGAGTGAGACAAACGCACACATTTCATTCAATGGCTACCCATTGTGCCCAACACTGCCCACCATGTCACCCGCTTTGCTCCCCATCATCCAACACGCTGCCCAGCACGTCACACTGGTCACTTTCTGAAAACTGTGACCCCTGCGTTGATAGGTGAAGACTTGCAGGAGTTCAGCCCGACGCACATCCACCGTTGTGACTCGCGCCTTGGCCTTGTCCACACATTCAGGTAACTCTCATCACACCAGTCGCTGCCATTGATAGCGACCAGTCAACTGTTGTGCTCACGTGCACAGGAAAGAAGCCAGCCAAGCGAGTTCCAAGTCAGAACGACAACAAGAAGTCGACGTCACAAGTTACCCATCCCAAGGCATCTGCTGGTCCCGTTCGGCAGACCAAGTGATGATGTCGCCCTGTGATGTCATCACTCCCCCTCCTCAGTTTAAGGACTGGCAGCACGATGGCGATGGCGGCTCACCGCAAAGCACAGATCGACTGACCGGCAGCTGCCAGCCTCACACAAGTGGGAATGAAAGTGATTGGTCGCCCCAGCGAGCGTCCACTGCTTTTAGCTCCCTGTTGGCTCGGAGAGAGCGTGGCTCCGCCCCCTCGCCAGCGGCCGAAGTCGTGTCGCTTTGCCCTTCCTTCACATACGGCAGCACGCGCCACCTGCTGGACTGGAATACGAGTGCGCACGGCAACCAGGGCTTCCTCTTGCATCGGGTCAGCACAAACACACACATGCACAAGGCACACACATTCACACGTACACAGAAAACACACACACAAACATCCCGCACAAATATAGATACACAGAGACAGCACACACGGACACAAACAGAACACACAAGACTCACACACAAGCATGGCAGGTGTTCCACACATGAACACAAAAGCACTGAGCAGTTGTTTTGCATTTGCGTTGTGTAGAAGCTGCGACCCATCACGGGTCGTTATCGAGAGGGTCGGGAGTACGACGTCTTGCGTCACATCCACAGCGGCGCCTACGGAGACGTTGTGTGTGTACGCGACTACGCAACACGCTTCACGTGCGCCGCAAAGAAGGTCAGCTGCTCTGTGTGTGTGAGTGTGTGTGTGTCTGTTGTGTGCGCCACTGTGTGTCATTCATGTTGAGCGGTGTGTGTGTGTGTGTGTGTGTGCACGTGCACATTCAGGTTCCTGTGAGTCACTTCCGCGAAGAGGAAGTGAGGTCATGGAGCCTGGCGACGTCCTCGCGGGTGGTGCGCCTGTTTGGCGCAGTGAGGGAGGGTCCCAACATGATCCTCTTCATGGACTTGAAGCCAGGTAACCTTTGACCTCCGTCCACTCCCCGCCGTCGCCTGACACCAATGTGTAACGCTCACTCCACAGCCGGCCTGGCTCAGCTGCTGGGGGCGAACGGCGGCGGCGGCCTGCCCCGAGACCTGTCCCTGCACTACCTGCACCAAACTCTGGGGGCACTGCAGCACCTCCACAGCAGGAACGTGCTGCATCTGGATGTCAAAGGTCGCAGGGCTACCTGAACATAGTCAGCTCGTCACATCATCTTAACCTCTGTTTGTGTGTATCTGTGTTACTGTGTTGTCTTTGTGATGTGTCTATGAGTATGTGTGCGTGTTTGTCTGTGTGTGTGTGTGTGTGTGTGTGTGTGTGTGTGTGTGTGTGTGTGTGTGTGTGTGTGTGTGTGTTGATGCAGTGGACAACGTGCTGCTGTCAGCTGACCTCACCAAGTGCTTCCTGTGTGATTTTGGACTTTCTCGTGTGCTGGACGAGAGTGGGCGCAGCACCAAAGACATGGGTAAAAACACCCACGTACACACACAATCAAATGAATCACGTGACTGGGTAGACCCTGGACTGGTCGCCTACCAATTGCACAGCACAAATAAAACAACCCTTCCTTCCATCCATTCACACCTTCAGAAAATGTCGTCTCCAAAGAGGTGACAATGCCAACTTAAGTTTAAAACTTCATTTTCATCCGTAATTAAAGTGTGTGTGCATGTGTCTGAATGTGTGTGTTGTGTACGCACATGTGTAGGAGCATCCTTCCCGGGCACGGAAAGCCACATGTCCCCCGAGGTGGCACGTGGCGAGTGTCCGAGCGGCAAGGCGGACGTTTGGAGTAGCTGCTGCATGCTGCTGCACATGCTCAACGGACGACACCCGTGGATACGACGTTACGCGCAGCCGCTCTGTCTGCACGTAAGACGGCGGTTTCGACGCACAAATTCGCACAGAAAACAAGCAGCGTTCTAGTAGCAATAGGCGGGGAAGCACAAAACAATACAAGTCGTGAATCTCTTGCGTTTGTCAGATCGTCACGCAGCCGGCGCCGCTGTGGGAGGTGCCGTCCGGCTGCGACCGCTCCACTCTCAAAGTCTTCCGTGCGGGCCTGCGCAAGGATCCCGACAGACGGGCCACGGCCGCGCAGCTTCGGGGGAATACCGCAGTCGCCCTCACAGCGGGTACGTTGCCCTCTGTGTGTGTGTGTGTGTGTGTGTGTGTGTGGGGGGGGGGGGGGGGA